TTGAAAGTCCTATGTTCCTTAAGCATATAGTCATGGGATCTCTTAATTATAATAAAGCCAAGAAAAATTAGCATGCAAGTTTCCTATATAGCAAAAATAGTTTCCATATAGTGAGGCCATTGTTGCTCACTATATGGTTACTCTTCTGCATGAGGGTTAACTTTTCCACCACCTACCAGATTCTTGAAGCAACTGGAACACACAAGATGTTGTTGTATTTGAGATTGCAGCCTTCCCTTCCATGATGTTCTTTCTAGCTGCATTTCCGGCAGTTATTTGGTCTTTTGATTGCAGCAGAACACATCCTGGGTAATTCAGCAATTCATAAACTTCTTTTGTTTTTCCCTCATTTACTTTTTTGCCTAGTTTAAGTTCTGGAGAAATAATTGAGGAAGGGAGATATTTACATCATGAACATATATGAAAACAAGGCACTGAATTTTAAAGTTTATAGAACAAATTTGTGCACGCTTACTAAGACATTTCTATTATATTTAGGGCATCTCAAATTTGGGAAGCCTTCTACTGTCCGCAATTTAACATTTTGTTTCAATATCAAAGACCACCACTCGTTCATTTTGTTCACCAAATGCCTTTTTTTTGCTTTGGCTTGCTAATAAGTGATGTATAAACCATGTCTTTATTGTCAGAATGTGTTCTCCTGTCAAATTTAGCCATTTTTTTAAAAGAGACACATTATGTCTTAGCATGAACAGAGAATTTTGTAAAAGGCTTGTTTTGATGTTGCTTTTAACTAGAAAGAGAATCATGTTGCACTATAAGAAGACTGGTGAGAAGGAAACAGAGTTGAAGTCTTTTTAGTTCCTATGGCAACAAATGGGTTGCCGAATGCAATTTGTCAAATAATCCACATAGCCACGGAAAGCAACCATTCTATTCTTTTCTTGTGTAGTCTGTTCGGTTTCCAGGCTGTGCTATTTCTCCACTTACACTTATGAAGAAAAATAAGTCTATATTAATCTTTAACTTTCTGCCCTGGTTTTAACTCTTGGGAGACAAAATGAAAATATCTGCTAAATTTCTTCTATTTACACAAGGACAGTTCACCCACTGAACTGTGACTTTTGCCTATCAGTTATCCCTTTCCCTCAAAATGAAACCTCAGCTCTTTTTCCTTCGAACCAAGCAAACATGGCTGTAATCACTGTACACTGTACTCTTCTTGCAAGGACATTTTAGGGAACCATCCTTGATTGGTTTAAGGCCGTGGTTCTCAACCTTTTTAATGCCGTGACCCCCAACCGGTCGTAAGTCGAGGACTACTCAACTGGTGCAGCACCGTTTGCAGAATGGGACGTTTGGCGGGCTCAGCAGGGCAGAGACAGCCTGGACAATTCCTACTGGCTTTTGAAAGCCAATAGAATTAGACTCTATTCAAGAAATCTATTCTATTGGCTTTCAAAAGCCAATAGAATAAAAGGGAGTAGCACAGCTAAGGACAAGGGGGAAAAATGGCGGACTGTGTTGTTTGGCGACCCCCGTGAAATGGTCATTCGACCCCAAACGGGGTGCCGACCCACAGGCTGAGAAGCACTGGTTTAAGGCAAGAAGACATTCAACCTCACCTCTCTTTTAAGATGTTGAATTGTCAGAAACTTTTATTGATTTGGGGGCTCTCTTCACATTTCAGGGTAATGAGGAGTTGTACTGAGCAAAGTGATATTCTAAAGTTGACCAGAATCTTTGTACAGAGCTGATCTTTAAAAAAGGGAGGATGGTTGGCTCTCTATACTTTTTTAATGAACACATTGTTACCTAGTTATCATAGATGACTTCAGGATAATCCTGTAAAAAACTTAAAGGGGAGAATGTTGTGAATTTTTAATTGACTAAGATATTGCTTTAACATTAGCTGTTTGAAATCGTCACTTAAATTTCTCCAGTCTTTTTGAGAAACTGTCCATCCAAATCTTAAACTGATATATACAAAGTCTGATACTGGGAGAATATGCATAAGAGAACCAAATTCAGTTGTTCTGATAGATCCCGCACATATATTGCAGATATCTGAATTTGAAGTCTCACGTTGCTAAAATTGCATATTGTACATAGTGGGAGACATTATTAAGCTGCAAAATTTTCAGAACTAAAAGGAAAAGTCCAACAAAAACTTCACAACTTTGCCTATTGGGTCCTGAATATGCTATAACAAACTAGATGGCTATATTAACTAATGAACAGTAGAGGCAGAAGCACCAATCACTTTTGAGTGAATATAAAATACAGATAGTCCACAGCTGAGCCCAGAATTTATGTTGCTAAGCAAGAAATTTGTTAAGTGAGTTTTGCCCCATTTTACAATTTTTCTTGCCACAGTTGCTAAATGAATCGCTGCAGTTATTAAATTAGTAACATGGTCGTTAAGAGAATCTGGCTTCCCCATTGACCTTGCTTGTTAGATTACAAAAGATAATCACACGACCCCAGGACACTGCAACCATCATAAATATGAACGAGTTATCAAGCATCCAAATGTAAAATACAGGACCATGGGGATGCTACAACAGTCGTTAAGTGTGAAAAATGACCATTTTCAGTTCCGCTGTAATTTTGAATGGTCACTCAATGGGCTGTCAAGGACTGCCTGTACATAGCAAGTTTCCCTCCATTCTGCATACAATCCAAAACTCAAATGGAGAATTCAGCGCTCGTTGCACATCTTTCCCATAAGATATTTGGATGGCTTAATCCAGTGATGGCGAACATTTTAGGCACCAAGTGCCCAAATTGCAACCCAAAACTCACTTAAGCATCATCGGGTGCCGGGTGGGTGTGGCCCATTGGGTGGATGTGGCCCATTGGGTGGGCATGGCTGTGGTGGTAATGGCAGACTGGGTGGGACTAAAAAGTCCAATCAATTCACAACTTTGCAAGATCTTTTTTTTCCCCCGTGAGAAGTTGAAATTGATTGAACCTGGTTTTTTTTGTTTGTTTTTTTTTGCACACAGCGGCAGAGGCCTAAAGCAAAAAGGTTTTATAAAACCCAGCTGAATGCCTAGGACTGGGGCGACGGCGCGCATGCCCACAGAGAGGGCTCTGAGTGCCGCCTCTGGCACCCGTGCCATAGATTCGTCACCACTGGCTTAATCCATTTCCCATTCTAGTGGAGACCAACCACGGGAGCAGAAAAGAACGTGCTGTGTGTGCACAATAGCCAAGTTTTCAAAAGTCCCAAGTTATGGGATCGTTAACTACCAGCTCCTCCAGGCAGCCCAGCCAGCAGGCCCACGAATCCCCAACCGTTGCTCTGTACCTCCCCAAACTGAGAGTGGTGGACAGAGATTGCATCGCCATGCAAGCAGATTGGGACCCATTCACGCGCTCTCCTTGCACGTAGAGTCCTGGATAAGAGGCGCAAGATTTATTTATTTATTTATTTTAAAAAAGGAATTTTTTTTGCAGCCCGTTGGTGGCAGAGGTAAAGGTAGAGAGCTCTGCACGGACGGGGAGTAAAAGGAATCCTTTTTATTATGGATCATCGCACAGTCAGCCAGATGTTCAGACTGGATTTGGCATTTTGTCTACCTATCGAGTCCTTACCCAGGACCTGGGATAGGCAGATGTGGAGGTTTGATGGCATTACAGGTATCGTCGCAGGACGGAAGCAGTTCCTTGTAAGGCCACCTTTTGCAATTGACTAATAGCGAATTTGTCAATTTATTATTATTATTATTATTGTTATTGACCTGCGCCTCTTATCTAGGACAAGGAGAGCGCGAAGGGTTCCAACCCAGCGCTGCTCACTTTGTCCTCAAAGAGTTTCTTTCGAACTCCAGTAAGCCTGCCCAAGGCGAAACCTGCAGAGGGCGGCCCAAAAGCAGCGGCTCTCACGTGGGAACCAGGCAGGGAGGCGGCCAACTCGAGTCGGGCCCAGCGGCGCCTTCCTTCTTTCCGCGGAGCCCGCCGGGCCGAGCCACTCACCTGAATGTATCGGAGGCATCGCGGCCAGAGGAGCGGAGGAGGCGGAGGAGATCCGGGACGCCTAAAACAAGAAAAAATAAAATAAAAAGCAGAAAAAGTGAAACACGCGCGAAGAGGACAAGCGAGGCGCGTCGCCGCCTGCCAGGAAAGTTCCGAAGAGGGCGCGGGGAGGGGTGCGTACGCGTGTGTGTGTGTGAAGCGAAGAGACCCAGCACACTCGGGGTCTCGAACTGGCGGCGGAGCTGCGCAAGAAGAAGGGGACACGGCGGAAGGGGCCGGCAGAGCGGCGACGGGGGTGTGCGTGTGTGTGTGTGAAGAGGGTGGAGATTAGCCGCGGAGCTCACCAATGGGCCGCGGCAAGCGCGGGGTGGCGCCCCGAAGTGGACCACCCCGGGCGCGTTTCCCCCCCCTCCTCCCCATCCCCGACCTCCCCTTTCCGAGCGGGGGGGGGAGGAGGTGGGTCCGCTACCTCGGCCCTCCAATCTGCGAGGAGCTTCCACCTCCGCCCCCTCCGCCTTCCACCAGCGCTGCAAAGAGTAACGCGTGGGAAGCGAAGTTGGGTCCTTTCCCCCCCCCCCCGCCCTCCCCTTCCCGCGCGCGCCGTTTTCCAAGATTCTCGCGCCCTCCGGCCCCGGGGGGGGGCTGTTTCGCGCCAGAGTTCACCCAACCGTCCCGCCCTCGCGTTGCTCCGCGGGGAGCGTCCTTTGCCTCAAATGCGCGGCCCCAGCCGCTCTCGGCCAGAATTCACACTCACTCACTCACCCACCCACCCACCCACCCCTTCCCCTCCCGCTGACCCGACCCCGAAGCGTGAAAAGTAAAATGCACCAACTTTCATACGCGGCTGAGAGGATGTGAGAAAGTTCCGCTGCAAAACTTTAAAAAAAGTTTCGACGAAAGGCTGGAAAACAAGCGGTCCACGAGGAGCGCCTGTTTTCCTGCCCTTTCCTTCCCCCCCCCCCGGCCCGGCCCGGGGAAGACTCGGGAAGGGGGGGGCGCGACTCGCCTGGGGTCCCGCCTCCCCCTTCCTTGGCGCCTTCCTTGGCCCAGCGCCTTCCTTGGCCCAGAAAACAACCCGGCCGCCCCCTCCCCATGGGACTGAGAGAGAGAGAGAGAGAGAGAGTGTGTGTGTGTGTGTATGTAAATAAGGCCAGGGGTGGGAGCAGGGAACTGGCGCTGCAAAGGCCAGCCCGCCTCCTCCTCCTCCTCCTCCTCCTTTCCCACAAACTCAGGCGGCGGCCGAAGCGGTAGCAACACGGGAGAAGCTGCGTGTAAGCATCCGCGCGCACGCATATATATATATACACACAGACACACGTGTTGCCTCGCGCGCCATGGAATTCGAGGAGTCGGGCATCGGGGAAGAATGCGGCGTCTTCGGCTGCATCTCCGCCGGCTTGTGGCCCACCGAGCTGGATGTGCCCCATGTGATCACGCTGGGGTTGGTGGGGTTGCAGCACAGGTAGGAACTGGGGGGGGGGGAGACGGACGGTGGCCGGGGAAGGGGGGGGGGCTTGACAGGAAAGCCTGACCTCTCCGCCTTGGGCACAGGCAGGGAGCGTGGAAGAAGGGGGGGGGGGAGAGAGAGAGTGTGGGAGGAATACGGTGGGATTAAGAGTTAAGCCAGGGCTGGTTCGGTAGGGTCTGCTCTGATAATAACTAAAGCACGTGCTAAGGATGTAAATCCCCCCCCCCTCCTATGCATATGCACTCTGCATGTCCATAAGATCCTTGCTCCGAGTAAGTTTGTGCAGGCTTGCACCCTGAGCCCTTCCTGTTTTTCCCTGATTCCAAGAAAACGAACATGCTTGTCGGTAAGATTAAAGGGTAACTCCCATTAGGCAAAGGATCCTAACCCTTCCTCAAACTTCTAGGATGGCCAGAGCTCTTCCTGATCAAAGTTTACAGGTACTTCTTTAACCACTAGACGAGCCTCAGACTTGCTGAATTGGATGATGGCCCAATAAACCATGATTATCTCCGGATCCGTTTACTTGGCTATGGATCTACAGCAATCTTAGAGCCCTGCTGTAGAGCATTGGACACAAATCAGTTTTGGTAATCTGGCTTACTCTAGGTTTTAGCCATAGAAAAGTATAAAACCAAAAATTTGGATAAAGGCACTGTATGGGTTTGTTTTGCAACATATCCATCCCTTGCAGACTCTGCCCATAATCCCTTCCTGCTGTGATATATTTGTTCTGCCTAATCTGCCCAGAAACATCCAACAAGATAACAACTACAGCCTCACTTGCCCATCCTCTCAGTAGAAAACTCCTTGTTTGCAAACAACATGCTCATCTTATCTACTTCATATCTGTGCTTTATTTTATATTGGCTATATAAAATCCCATGTCTTTTTCAAATTTCTTGACACGGCAGGCTGGGGATGTTGGTAGGTTTAATCCAGCATCTCCACAGAGCATCAAACTGGTCTACATCTCTTTACCCTTGTTTCTCTTGCCTGCTAAAACTTTAGCTGTATGCATTTCTTCATGGAGTGATACATTTCTAGATTCAGTTTGCTCTGTGGATACTTGTTCCTGCTCACTTAGAGCAGTGGTTCTCAGCCTTTTTAATGCCGCGACCCCCAACCAGTCGTAAGTCGAGGACTACTCAGCTGGTGCAGCACCTTTTGCAGAATGGGACTTTTGGCGCACTCAGCAGGGCAGAGACAGCCTGGACAATTCCTATTGGCTTTTGAAAGCCAATAGAATTAGACTCTATTCAAGAGAGTCTATTCTATTGGCTTTCAAAAGCCAATAGAATAAAAGGGAGTAGCACAGCTAAGGCAAAGGGGGGGGGGGGAAATGGTGGACTGCGTTGTTTGGCGACCCCCGTGAAATGGTCGTTCGACCCCAAATGGGGTCCCAACCCACAGGTTGAGAACCACTGACTTAGAAGATTGGGACTGCTGAACCAAGTAGAAACCACAATTCTCAACTCCCTTAACAGAAAATACTCTAAAGCAGTGTTTCCCAAACTTGACAATTTTAAGGCATGTGGACTTCAACTCCCAGAATTCCACAGCCAGCAATGCTGGCTGTGGAATTCTGGGAGTTGAAGTCCACATGCCTTAAAATTGTCAAGTTTGGGAAACACTGCTCTAAAGATGTACCTTCTCTAAGTTTGTGCCCATTCTTCAAAAGTTGCATGGCTGGATGCTACTGTGTTATGTTATATATTTCTTGGGAAGTAATCATGTTCAAATGGGTTCTTGAATAATGATTCAAAGGATCATGTGGCACATGTGTCTAGGATTTACTTTTTAAAAACTCCCTATACAGGCAGAGATATTTAAGATACAGCAGTCACCTTCTTGGTAAAAAGAAAAGAAAAAAATATTACACTGCATAACAAAACGTTTACAACCCCACCCCTAAATTTGCAACTCAAAGGAAATTGAGTTTTCCATCTCAGGAAATTTTCTTCCTCCCATCCTCAATATTGTTAATTTTTGAAGTTCTGCTCCTGCTTTGATAGTAACAGTTTAAAGTATCAACTTGCCAGGTTTTACAGAGTAGCTATCCTTGCACATATGACAGTGGTTCTCAACCTTTTTAATGCCGTGACCCCCCCCAACCGGTCGTAAGTCGAGGACTACTCAACTGGTGCAGCACCGTTTGCAGAATGGGACTTTTGGTGGACTCAGCAGGGCAGAGACAGCCTGGACAATTCCTATTGGCTTTTGAATGGCAATAGAATTAGACTCTATTCAAGAGAGTCTATTCTATTGGCTTTCAAAAGCCAATAGAATAAAAGGGAGTAGCACAACTAAGGAAAAGGGAGAAAAAAATGGTGGACTGCATTGTTTGGCGACCCCCGTGAAATGGTCATTCGACCCCAAATGGGGTCCCGACCCACAGGTTGAGAACCACTGACATATGACCTCTGTTACATAAATGGTGGGTTATCATTCAAATTGTTCAGCTCTACCTACGCATGCACAGGCAGCAGAGCAACTGGTTTCCTGTTTTTAACTTTACATTTTCAATTAACTATAAAGACTTATATACAGAGCTAAATTCATAGTAGCTAATATCTAGTTATAGTTAGGGAAAGTAAGATGATTCTGGCTTCTTTCCCATCATTCTAGAAACAACCTGAGGACCTAGTTGGAACATAGAACTATATAAATTCTGAGCACTTTTACCTCTTGTATGCTTTTCCAACAATGCATTCTCCAGTCAGCCTGGAGAATGTGAGTTTCAGGTGGGAAAATGCGTCAGGTTGTAATATATCAAACTTAGTTGGTAAATCTAGATTAAAGATATATGCAAAAAAAAAAAAATTCAGCCGGGACAAGTCATTGTTAAAAGTTGATGGAGGCAATACAGGTAGTTTTTAGTTAATGACCACTCATTTGGCAGCCATTTAAATTTATGTTGGCACAAAATGAGTGATACATATGACCAGTCTTTGAAATTCTGGCCCGTGCAGCTTCCCCACAGTCACACAGCAATAGCAATAGCTACCAAGAAGTTGGAAGTCACAACCAAATGAGGTCCTCACTAACAACCCATGATGAGTCACTTAATGACAGCAACCAGGGACTGCTGGAACTACCATGGCTAAGTGATATGTCACATGACATTGTACTTTATGATCACATCACTTAGCAATGGGAATTACAGTCCCAGTTATCATTGGTAAGCTAGGACTACCTTTATAAAACTATATAGCAAAAAGCAAGGCAGAAATGAAACCTATGTTTACTATTTCTAAGTCCTGACAGTATATTGGCATGAATTACAGCATGTTATAAGAGAAGGTTAATAATACTAATTGGTTAATATAGTTCTGTTAAGTTATATTTAGATAGATAGATAGATAGATAGATAGATAGATAGATAGATAGATAGATAGATAGATAGACAGACACACACACACACAAACATATATATATATATACATATATACACATATACACACACACACACACACACACACACACACACACACACACACACACACATATATATATATATATATATATATATATATATATATATATATATATAAAGATTTTACTGACAAAGAGTTAAAGTTTTGCAAGGCAAACGCTATCATAACAGTAGACCAGGTGCTCTATTCAGACCAGTTTCACTGGAAAACACTATATGTATAATTGTGTCTATTAGTTGGAGTATTTCATATGATTCATTTGGGCATAAAGTTTAGGGAATATTTTGCATAGATCAGTGGTTCTCAACCTTTTTAATGCCGCGACCCCCCAACTGGTCGTAAGTCGAGGACTACTCAACCGGTCGTAAGTCGAGGACTACTCAACAGGTGCAGCACCGTTTGCAGAATGGGACTTTTGGTGGGCTCAGCAGAGCAGAGACAGCCTGGACAATTCCTATTGGCTTTTGAATGGCAATAGAATTAGACTCTATTCAAGAGAGTCTATTCTATTGGCTTTCAAAAGCCAATAGAATAAAAGGGAGTAGCACAGCTAAGGAAAAGGGGGAAAAAATGGCGGACTGCGTTGTTTGGCGACCCCCGTGGAATGGTCGTTCGACCCCAGATGGGGTCCCGACCCACAGGTTGAGAACCACTGGCATAGATACATAAAATAATTCCTTCCTATATACGTATATGGAGTTTTCTATCCAAAGTGTACTTTTCAGATAATTTAAAATGACTCTAACCTTTGTGGTGCTTTACCCTCAAAATCTCCCACCAGTGTGAATGATGCTAAACAAATAAAATGTGTGCTCTATGTAAATCGTGCTCTAAATATATTTAAAATTATGCCATGAGACTAATTTCTTGAGAACTATACTCTTCCCCCCCTTTTTTCCTTTAACTTTTATAGGCTGAATTAACAATAATGAGATTTCTTTTACAGGAATCTTCCTTCTTCTAATGCACTTAAGTATTGGGACTACTCTGAAGATCACCTTAAACTACTCTTAGGTGATTTTTTGTTGTGTACCCTGGTATATATTTGTTGGAATGTCTTGACACACAAGGTGTAACTGGGCTACATGTTTCCTGGTGTTCACTGAAATTAGATGGGTCCAAATCCTTTCCACAAAACTGAAATAATTAAGAAGCTTGGTTAAAAGCAGCATACTGATTTTAAAGCGAGAGAGGTGTATCCTATGACTGAATTTAAAAGCTAAAAGTTTTTTAAATCTCCAATTTACCAGTTGCTTATCAACCATTCAGAGTTATGAAGGACCCCCCCCCCCAAGGTACTTATGACCCAATTCCAAAGTTCCATTTCCCCCACACACAGTCACATGACTGCATTTTGGGCATTCAGCAACAGCCCCACGTGTACAGCTGTCTGCAGCATCTCATGGTCATGTGATCATGCTTTTCAGTGTTTTTGCCCCCTCCCCCCAAAAGGCATCTATTTCCAGTTTTGGGCAAAAATGCCCCATAATTAACCACGACCTCGCTTAATGACCATGGATTTACTTAACCATGGTAATTCACTTAACAACTGCCACA